AATGTTTTATGTGTAAAGAAAACTTGGACGAACACAAAAAATAGGCAAGGGAGATTCAACAGCGAAAGCTTGACAAGCGAGATGAAAGAAGAGATTGCGAAAACTAGACGAAAAGAAATTACAAATGGTAAACAAGAGAGATTACGAAAGCTAAACAAAGGAGATGAAGGAGATATTGCGAAAGTTCCACAAGAAGGATGATAGGAATTGTGAAACCTTGAAAAGATGTAAGAGTGATCAAGAAAGCTAGACAAAAGTGATGGAAGAGATTGCCTTTAAGCAATCTAAAATTAACAGCCTACCAATTGAGGTGGGGATGTTTTCTTAACACTACGATTTCAATCTGCAACAGATTTGAGATTACTATCATGAGGATTGGGTGGAAATATTCTAATTAAAAGATTTGGAACTTGTTCCATGCATTACCACATCGAATCCGGGATATTTATTTAGTCAAAAGCAGTAGCAATAATTGTCAATTCCCTAATTTAGCGTTTTGTATTTTTTGCAATAATAAAGACCATGTTTTATCGTACGAAAGCGTCTGGAAGTTGAAGTTTTCAATGGTGGTCCAATATATATTTTTATGTTTATTTTCAGCATCCCGCTGCATAAGATTCTATATCTTTCACGAATCGGTAAAATTAACAAAAGTTATAATTAACCATGGTGTGCAAAATGTTTATATTTATACACCAGTGTATAGGTAGTCTTTTTATGCATATGAGCTGTTATAAAATATATATATATATATATATATATATATATATATATATATATATATATATATATATATTATGTAGAGGAGAGAGAGAGAGAGAGAGTAATTGTGAACAAATATCCTTTTGTATATAAAATTCTGTTAAGCTGATAGCTTGCCATTAATTGAACACGGTCGTGAGAAAATGCTGACACTTCATTTGAGACATTTGTTTGGAAGTGGGTTGTTCGAGCTAGACCAGCAGGTGTAAGTATTTCATAAACTGATTTTCCCATATAAACAATACAGGTCATGCAAATTAGAGACAGAGAAAGAAAAAACATAACATCTCTTCTCGTTAACCCTGTGGAAGAAATATCTTGCATATCTAAGTTTAGACTAAGTCAAGAATGAAAATGCCACACTAGATTAAATAAACATATTGTACAATAGACATAAAGAAGCATACATCTGAAGTCACAGCAAATTGAAATTTGAAGCAGATGAGCAACAGCAACAGTTGGACACCACTATTTTCTAGTAATAAACAACAAGATATATTTTACTAGGCATAACAAAAATGCAATTACAATTGTGTTTGTGGCTTTTTAGCTACTTCGCACGACAATTACACCCTCGCAATACCTCATAAATAATGGGGTAATCATTTTAATCACGTGGAAAAATTGAAAAACACTACTTGGTTTCCGTCGTTTTCATTACGTGGAAATAGGGAAAATACAATACTTGATTTCAACGGGAGATTGAATGAATGAAAGATAGAAGGAAAGATAAAAGTGTTTAACGGCTTTTTCGATAAAAGAGAAATCATTCCAATTCAAATCTTTTTATTTGTACCCTTTTACTCCCTAAAATAACGAATTTTATTCATATTTCTGATATTTGTTGTAATATATTTTTAATGTTGTTAAGCTCAAATATTTAACTATTTGATATCGGAATTTCTCCTGATATTTTATGGTCAGAAAACTGGTCATTAATTTACTCATTCATTAACTTTAGAATTAAATTCATCAGAAAAATAAAATAAGAAAACCATAAAATTTGCACAGACCTTTCTAATGAAAAATAAATATATGAAAACACGTGGTCTTAACAGTTGCTTCCTGATCTCTGCTCTGATATTAAGGGGTTAGCGGACAATTTTTACATAAGCAACATGAAATATGAATCAATCCTGCCTTTTTCAAATATTCAGACTGGTGATGGTGTTTTAATTCTCCGAGAAATATATCTTGGAATATACTGGAAAATTTGGTACCAATAAAAAAAAAAAGGTAGCTGAAGATAAAACTGCCTCTATTGAATATATATATATATATATATATATATATATATATATATATAAATATATATATATATATATGCATATATATATATAACTACTACACACACACACACACACACACACACACACACACACACACACACACACATATATATATATATATATATATATATATATATATATATATATATATATATATATATATATATATATATATATATATATATATATATATATATATATATATATATATATATAAAATATAATGGTGGTCCTATCCAGCAGGGTAAGGCATCATGATATGAATAAAATATATTGTTTTATTTTGATGTGTGAGAAAGGTGAATCTGTTTTCTGAGATACGATAGCTTCTAGAATCATGTGGTAGAAGTCGAATGGACTAAATTTCCGATGTAATGGAACCGAGGTTTTGGATTTTGAATAGCAACAATTCATCTATAAAAACAAAATAGACGCACATTTCGATATATATATATATATATATATATATATATATATATATATATATATATATATATATATATATATATATAAATAGAACTATGTATATATATATATATATATATATATATATATATATATATATATATATATATATATATTTACATATATATATATATACATATATATGCATATACATATATATACAGATAAATATATACATATATAAATATATATGAATATATATACATATATATATAAACATATATACATATACACCGAGATCCGAGATACAATACATATATATATATATATATATATATATATATATATATATAATTACATTTTTATACATATATAAAATATATATAGACGCATATATATACATATACAAATACATATATATACATACATTAATATATATATATATATATATATATATATATATATATATATATAAAAATTACTGCATACGTGTTATTCAATCTCTTTATTTAAACACATAAATATATGAAGATTGCGTGGAAATTTTATTGCACATATGTTTGGACGTTTCTACATGGTTGATTGTTCTTGAATATAAACCAGAAAAGGATCAAAGTTTATCTCATTTTCATAATTTCAATCATCGTTTTGTCGAATAATGCGATTCCACGAATAGGTAGGAAGTTTCTATTGGCCAGCGTGAGAGCCAAAAACTGACTGACACTGATAACTAGCATGCTAGCAAGCAAAAAAACGATAGCTGCATTCGTCACAAGTGGGAAAAATTTAAATCTGCATGGCACTTTACTCCAATTGGCTCATTCGCTTGCTTAACGTTCATTCTGATTCCGCAGAACTGGGTTAGGTGTGAAAAAGTATTTGTTGATAACATTTTTCCATTTACGAGTCCTTTTTTAAAGCTGATCGTTTTGTGTTTATTTTGTTTAGTTCTTTTTCCGTAACAGATTTAATGTTTAGTATATAGCTTATAAAAAAATTTCAGTGTGAGATAGGCAAGAAGTAAGGCATATAGCAACATGAACACGGTAAAGGGTACGCCTTTAAAGGCAAGGTAGGGCAAAAATATTTTAAGTCAAGTGATAGCGATTGCTGTATGAGCCGTACGATTTTTTAATCAAGTACGGGCAACGCCGGTCCATGCTGCTAGTCTTTGATAAAACATGCTAAAACTCATTTGCTAATAGTATATGACTCCAGTGTTTCTTTGATTATTTTTTGTGACGTTACCACAACAATACGCATAAAATATATTTAGGTGTTATACGAATGTGATGCTTAATTAGCTAGAATATTTTAATCAGAGGTTTATTACATATGAGAAATTATTATTTGTATGTATTTCCAACACACCATATTTAGGGTTTTGAGTAGACGTCATCCTAAACCACCGGTTCTCTCTCTCAACTATAGATCAGCGCTACTGAAATGTCACTGAGTTTTCTTCAAGTTCAATTGTCAAAAACTTTAAAAACAAGAATATAAAACATATATGTAAAAAAAAAAAAAAAAATTGAAGTTATATATTTATATCATTTTTTCAACCTAATAATCCTTTAAGTTAACTGCTTATTACCAGCAAAGAAAATTAAATTAATTCACATTTTCAACTCATCCATATAAATATTCGGTCAGAATTATATTGAAATTGAATCAACGTATATCTTTCTTTTTCAATGTTTTATTATTTCATTCACAATTGCATTTTTTATCTCAGGGTATAATAAAAATTAAATTACATATAAAATAAAATTATACATAATTAAAAGAGAAAATATATGCAGTGATATATATATATATATATATATATATATATATATATATATACTCTTTCTGTTTTATTATTCACTATATTTCTTCGATTCAAAAAATATATAAAGATAATGTTTTATAATAATGAATCAATAGTGTTTAGAAAAATATCCAAATTTAAAACTTATGGGAGTGATGAAATTGTATATTCATAGAAATGTTGCTAAGTTGACTTGCCTTATGGAAATAACATTCAATATAAATTAGATGGATAATATTAAATGTATCGACAAAAATTGTCTACTAAATAATGATTATCAATTCATGTTTTTTTTATTAAAATTGCCAAGTGTGTGGGATAAAATTAGATGGCAAAACATAAAGTGCAAAAGAAAAAGGCAATAGAGATTTTAGCGAAATATGTTAATGAATTTAATGGAGAAAATATAGTAGTAAATGGTTAATAGAAACAAAAAAAAAACAAAATACATAGTTATGTGTATAAGGAGGATAAGGTGGTTAGGACAAATAGAAACAAAAAGAAAATAGTGAAGTGTTAGGAGGAATGACATCAAGTGATTTTACTCTAATAAAATTGATGTAGATTTGAAGTGTATCAAGACAAATTGAATTTCGTGAATTAAAGAGTTTATTTTCAAATGGTGGAAAGAGGTATATATGTCAAAATAGAGAAGACAGAGTTTTATATAAGAGACTAGTGTCTGACTGAAAATGAAGAATAATGTTAAATTTCAGAAATTAAATAAATGAATTTCACAGTAAAAATATAATTGTGGGAATAGAAAGGGAGATGGAAAATAAAGGAAAGAGCAGTGAGGCAATCATGACGGTCGTAAAGAGCAGTGTTGTAGCTATGAGGGCCATAAAGAGCAGTCCGGTAGACATGAGGGCGGTACAGAGCAGTGCTCTAGCCATGAGACCAACAAGGAGAAGTGCCGCAGACATGAGGGTCGTAAAGTAGTGTGTGGTTGACACGAGGGACGCAAAGAGCTGTGCGGCAGAGATTAATAAATAATAGTAAGACAGGCATGAGGGCTGTAAAGTGCGGTATGGTAAACATGAGTGCAATACCAAGGTTCCAGATTTGATCTGACCTGATGGAGCAAGAAAGTGTGCTGTAACGTTTAGAGCTAAGGAGTGTGCTGTAAATTGAGAGAGGAGGCTTTAGAGCAAGGAGAGAGAGAGAAGGCACTAGTGTATGGAGAGAGGGAGATGGCCCTAGATGAAGGGTGAGGGGTCTAGAAGATGGTGCGACGAAGAGGTCTTTAGATGCTGGCACTAGGGAGAGGTCTCTAGAGGATGGAGCTAGTGAGAGGATTCTAGAAGATGGAACTAGGCAGGGGTTCTAGATGGATGGCGAAACGAAGATGGTTCTGGAGAAGGGATGAAAAGAGTGTTCTCTAGTGGATGAAGCGAGGGAATTTGTCCCAGATTATGGAGCGCAGGAGAGGGCACTAAATGATGAAAGCAACAGAGAGGTATATGTGAGTATAGAGCATCGGAGCATGCTCTTTAGACCTACGGAGAAAACTGTAGATAAAAAAAAAGCGAAGGAGAATTCAATAGAATTCAAGAGAGTACGAGAGAGTAAAGAGCCAGTGAGAGCGCTGGACAGATATATATATATATATATATATATATATATATATATATATATAGATAGATAGATAGATAGAGAGAGAGAGAGAGAGAGAGAACAGAAATATGATATAGAAAAAAATGGGCCAGAGTTCAACATCTCAAGAGGTCGATATCTAGCATTCTATTTTTCTGAGAGAATGTTACAAAGTGATATGTAAAGAAAGATGGGAAAGGATGAAGTAAAACGTGTTTCCGAGTATCCTTGGAGATATGTCGAATATGACGTTGTGTGTGATGTAGTAAATGAAATATCTGGCAATGAATGAATGTCAACAATAATTTAAATGAATAATTATTTTTACTTTCAACGAGAAACGAAAGTGGTTAAGACTGATTTAGAATAAATTTTTATTAACTTAAATCAGATTTTAGGGAAAAAAAGTTAAAGACGGATGTGATATTATTTAGCTCATAAATATTATGCCAGAGCGCAAACTCTATATAGAAATGAAATTATCTTATTTTAATTTTAATTCAAATAAAATTTAATAAAATTTCCATTCATATTTACGCTGTGGTACTTTTTACTAATGAAAAGCATGTTTGTTAGATGCGTTTTCTATAACAAATCTACGGGAACTCAAATTTTGGCAACGTGATAGAATATAGGAATATCGGATCTAAACTTGCATGAATAATGTTCAGAGAAAAGATCCTGAAGCATTATTTCTTGAACTTCAAATTTTGATAGATAACTCCATTAACAGAGATCAGTGATATAAAATCGTAGACATATTACCGGTTACAATCAGATTTCTTTTTTGAACCTAATACTTTACTGTTGATTGGTTTCATTTTATGGCTTATCAGAATTTTTCAAGTTACTTAAAGACAGAAATATCTTTAGATTGTAAGAATCTTTTGGAGATAATAATAATAATAACTGAGAGACAACAAGTCCAACTCGATAATCCATTAGACTGGGAGAGAACAGGTTAAGTCAAACATCTCCTGTCGGTATTTACGCGTAAGTGAATATGTGTAAATAATTACCATAGGAATTGTGACTCGGCTATTTGACATCGAATTCTTAGCCGTTGTCAGTTACATCCCTACACATCCATACTTATAGCATTAGTAATCCTAAGGTGCCATTAATCAGCTGACCAACTTCGACGGTGCTTAACTTCGTGGATCTTGCGACAAGGTTTCAAACGCGATATGTTGGTAATCCCCGACACTCGCATACATCAGCTTCATCTAATTAGAGAGGTGACTTTTGAAAATGAGGTCTTACACGATGTAATGTAGATCCTTTCCTTCATAAATAAAATAGACAAATACGCAATTCAGTGATTTCTTGCATCAACAGTGACATTAAGAATATCTGCCTCTGTTTGTAACGATTCGAAGCGAGGAGAATAGAAAAAATTCGAGTGGGATATTAGGCTGGCCTCGAATAATAAAAACACTTGGATTGTTAGACACGTCAAAAACTGAAAAACAGAAGATTCATAAGCAATTATATTTCCACAATAATAATGAAAAATACAGAAATCTCAAAAAACACGAAATTCCTTATTTTTATTTGTTCAAGATTTATTGCATTCGGAAATTTTAAAAGAAGAAGAATTGATGTTAATGTTGGTTCGTTGTTACTGACAACCAACTGTCTAATAAATCTTTAGGATAAATCTATATTTTTAGAACGGGCACACAGCTTTTTTTTCGCTTTCACTTTAGATACACGTACTTTTATTCGGTTTGATTTTTTCCTGTAATTCTTTCCTAATGTTCAACATTGTGTGGGATTTTTCGCGTTTGGCTATCCTTTTTCGAAATTTTTTTTTTTTAAATCTCCGCTTTTCATTCATTTATGTTCACACTTTCTTCTTTCATGTCTAGATATATTAGCGTCAGATATTATCTAAAAATATTCCCTCTAGTAATTTAACTCCAATACTTCAAAACAACTTTCCAAATTTTCAAGTAGAATTTTCTCTTTCCTATTCACTTCATTGCTGCTTCCTAGCAATATATTCTTTAAATAGAAAAAGTATATATTTCATAGTAATTAACAATTAATTCTTCATGATAATAACAATTTATATTTTATTACCAAATGTTAAGATAGTACAAGACATCACACTGAACAAATAACATTAATCCTAGATTTTACTTTGCGTGCGTTAAATGTCTATTTGATCATATTTTCCTCTGTCAGCCTGAGTCGCCCGGCAGAAGACGCTTTGCCTCTTGTTTCTTTAAGAAATTTCGCAATTTTTATTACTTCTCTGTACTCTGATTGGCAATATGTAACATGATATGAAAATTTGTTGTTACTTTTTCACAGTTTAAAAAAGTTACTCCAGGTAGAGCGTTAATGAAAGAGCTTCTTGTGTGTGGTGTAAGACTGAAAGTTGAGAGGCACAGTTTAGTAGGAGATGCGGAAAAAACAACATGAACAGTTTTAAGACTGTAAAAATTAAATTAATCCAGCTTTAAAATTATTCATGTTGTAGAAAAATATACAATTTTTACATCATGTATTGGTGAGCAGTTTTTCCCTGACAAGGGCCGCTCAGATACTAAGGATTCCGCCGAAGTATGCTGATGTTTAGCATCTGAGCAGTCCATGTCACGGAAAAAAATAACTGTTCACCCATAAATTTGGAAATGGTCTAGAAAAGGTGACATACAAAAACTCTGTTCCTTTTTCTATCTGACCGGCTTTCTGTAGTCGGCTCCTGTTCGGCTTTGCAGTCGAAATACAGAAGTGAAAATCGAAAGACAAATTCAAATTTTCATCATCAGAGACACTTCATGAAAGTTGGTTCTTGGAATGTTACAACCCTTTTGGATAGTGATCAAAGTAAAAAAAAAAAAAAAACCTGAACGTAGAACTGCCATTCTAGCATGGCATTTATCAGCATTTACATAGCGTCTACACATTCTTTTGGAAGGGTAAGTCTGCAGGTAAGAAACGGTTGTGGTGTTTGCAATAAAATCTGATCATGTTGCACATCTTGAACATCCTCAAGGCATAACTGACAGAATCAGGACAATTCGTATGCCACTGCCAGGAAACAGATTCATGACATTAATCTCTGTCTGTCTCTCCAAGTTCAATAGTGAAGAAATGATAATTGCTTTCTCCGAAGACCTCTATTTAACGGCATCAACAATTCCTCAAGATGATAAAATTCTCCTTTTGTTGGATTTTAATTCGAGGGTGGGAAAAAATCTTGAAACTTGGAAACCTGTAGGTCGTTTTGGACTTGGCAAAGTAAACAGCAATGTTTTGCATCTTCTCCAGCTCTGCAGAAAGATCAATCTTGCTATATATAAAACTTCCTTTCAACAGAAAATATCCATAAGGTAACCTAGATTCACCCAGGATCTCGCCATGGTCACATCATTGATTACATTATTTGGCGTCAACGTGACCTTCAAGATGTTTGCAGTGTACGAATAATGAAATGAGCAGATTTTGGTATTGATTACTATCTTGTAAGGAGAAAACTGAAACTGCGTATAAGGTGGGAAGTTCATTCTGGAGGGACAACAATTTGAGGGATCCGGTGATTCGGGAAGAGATTCAAAAAGCTGTGGAAGTCTCGCATTTTGATTGTTCCTGGGAAGAGTTTTAAACGACCATATACAAAATCAGTGTTGATGTCTTGTGTTTAAGAAAAAAAGAAACATTAACATTGGTTCAATGTGAATATTCTTGAAATCAAACAGCTTCTTAAAATCAAACCGATCTTTATCCGATGTTGGGTGCATATAAAAGTGATCATCAATCATTTTTCCAGTCCTTTAAGTCCTGTAGGTCCTTTCTTCAACGTAAATTACGCTAATTAAACAATCAATGGTGACATGATATTACCAAACAAATCCAGGATTCCAACAATCGTAAAAAACTACAAGGTACTATATGGCCTTATAAGAAAGGAATTTGGGCCTGTCAACATCTGTATCTCCACTGAAAACTAAGGATGAAACTAATCGCCTAAGAGATTCCAAAAATATTTCAGCGTTCGACTGAATATTTCTCGGATTTGTTTGATAATCGTTCCGTTGTTGAATATGATCAACAATCTGCCTCAGTCTGGTGTTGTGCCTGAAATAGCAATTCCACTAATATATGAGGAGTATAGGAATGCGATTCAAGAGGTCAATACTGTGAAGGCACCAGAACTGGATGGAATTTCTGTTGAGGTGATCTTACATGGAGGAAACGATATGGCAAGATTAATACACCATCAGATTGCAGATGTTTGGAATGGCACAGGTTCTTCATAACTGGATTGATACCATTCTTTTGCACCTGCATAAAGTGGAAGGTCAAAAGTCAGAATGTAGCAACTCCAGTGGAATAAGCTTACTTGAAGCGGTTGATGCTAAATCTTGCGCAATTGCTTACAAAGTCACATCTGTTCAGAAGTGATACCAAAGAGTCAATGTGTGTATCGCACTGATAGAGGCACAATGGACATGATTTTCACAGCTCAACAACAGGTAGAAAAGTGCATTGAACACTGTGTCCAGTTCTACCAAGTCTCCGTTGAAACAAATAAGGCGTTTTCCACTGTAAATAGGAACGCCTTGTGGATAATTCTAAGAAGACTATGTTGACCACCTGAATTGTCAGGCTTTTTAAGCACAGCAACATGAAAGCCAGGTTGAACTTCAATGGTTCTCTGAAAGAAAAATATGTGTTGAGAAAGATGTGAAAAAGATATATCTGTACCTATTTTATTTTCCATCTTTTTGCAGTGATGCTCACACGTGACTTTAAGAACTATAGCATTGGCGTTTATTTGCGTTTCCTAAATACCGAGAAAGTCTTTGACCAGTGACGATTTAGTGCGTCCACAATGGTTTTTCAGCAAGTTCTTTATGCTGATGATGCCGACCTCGTTGTTCATACCGAAGAAGATATGCACACCATCATGATTCTACTTGCTATTGCGTGTAAGTCTTTTGGGCTTAGATCAGTTTGAGGAAGACCAAAGTAATGTTCACACCACTTCCTTGTCAACTGTATCGCGAACCAAAATTATTTGTGGATAGCAAGAAGCTGGAGGTGTTGGATACCTTTGTGTACCTTGGAAGCACACTCTCACGAGATGGGACACTAGATGCTTTAATATTTCAGCGCATTGAGAAAGCTACTAAATCTTCTACATGCTTTCATAAGTTCGTGTATTCTGACAGAAACATCACACTTAATATCAAGGTAAGGGTTTATGAGTCATGTGTTTTGCCTGCCCTTTTGTACTCTTCAGAAACATGGGCAACATACAGACGTCATATTACCACACTTGAAAGAGTACAGCAAAAGTTCTTCGAAGAACCATGAAAATTTCATTGCAGTCTTTTGTACCTGACACAGAAGTTCTGGAGAATGCTAATTTCTTCAGTATTGAGAAACAAATCGTTCTCAATTCAAATGCGCTGGGCAGGTCACTTGGTGCGAATGGATGACTCAGGGTTGCCTAAACGTGCCTTTTTTGAAGTGCTATCTGCGGGCAAGCGTCCTAGATAGCAACCTAGAAAGACCTTTAAAGATTGCGTCAAAACTAATCACAAAGCTCCTTGGATATCAGTTGATAGGTGCGGCGACTGAATGTCAACCTTCGTAAGGACGACAGTTCGTCAAGTTTGTAACCAGTTTGAAAAAGGCAATGTGGAACATGCTAAGGTTAAGCACATTCTTCGTAAAGGTAATCATGAAGCGCTACTTTCCACCTTAAACTTACATCATGTATGTATTTTGTGTGGTAATTATGTTCTTTCAAAGGCAGGTCTAGAATGTCACCTTCGGTCTCATCAGGCTCAATCCACTGAATGATGCCGGCAATCAATCTTTGTGCTTTTCGGTTTACACTCAGACAGAAAATATGCAAGTCAGATTCTGGAGTAAAAGACACATGAAAATTCATGTTGATGCTATACTTTTTCAGCTTAGGGATCTCTCCCTTTCAGGTGCAACTTTTGAGTAAAAGCTTCTAAAATAAGGCTGGTTTGAATAGTCATCTGCGTTCCCATGATTGGTGAAACTGACAGTTACATAACAAAAAAAAAAGAAAAACAAGAAGTGGCAATCACCAATCACACACACACACACACACATATATATATATATATATATACACTGATGATTGCGTTTAGCATGAAACAGTCAGTCGCCTCTGAGTGTTGACTTTATATTTACACACGCTCTATCTCTGATATTGAGCACTTCATCCCATAAATATAGCACACTTTGAAACTATATTTCTTCATAAACCCACACATACATATACATATATACATACACACACACACGAAACAATATATATACACACACACACACACATACACACACACACACACACACACACATATATATATATATATATATATATATATATATATATATATATATATATATATATGTATATACATAATTTTTGTGGTACAAAATTTGAGTATTGCATTAAAAGCATTAAGTTTAACATTACGTTTGTTCCTCACCCGTCGAGAGGCTACTCTGCTTCGAAATATTTTTTTTTTGTTTTCTCTAAAACAATTAGAATAACTTGAATAAGGAGCAATGGAAATTGACGTTCAATTGGTGGCATTTTTAAATAGGATCGGTGATAAAAATCGATGTTCCTCAACTGCTGAGATGCCACTCTACAAAGGAACAAATAGTTTCCGCAAAGCAATTTGGATCACGAGACAAGAAAATTGATTGGCCACCTGCAGTATTTTTATATAGTATCGGCCATAATAATATTTGTTCATCACCCGTTGAGATGCTCTTCTGCATCGAAATAAGGAGAAAGATATCAGTCATTAACATCTTTGTTTCTTATCCGTCGAGATGCTCCTTTTCATCGAAACATAATGTTTTTTCGCCAAAACAATTTCTATAACGAGAAAAGGAAAAGTGACTGTCAATAAGCGGCATTTTTAAATAGGATCTGTCACAACCATCTTTGTTCCTTACCTGTCGAGAAGCTCCTCTGCACTAAAACAAGGAGATAAGGAAAGTGACAATCCATGGGCGTATTTTTAAATAGGTTCGGTCATGACCATCTTTGTCTCTTGTCCGTCGACATGCTTCTCTATATCGAAGGAAAATGTTTTCACAAAAAGAATATGAATGACGAGAAAAAGTCGGTCCATAGGCGGCATTTTTAAAAAATATCGGTCATTAATATCTTTGTTCTTCATCCGTCGAGATGATCCACAACATCGAATGGAAATGCTTTCCCCATAACAATTTGAATAACGAGAAAAGAAGAGAGATGTTCCATAGGCGGCAATTTTAAATAGGATTGCTCAAAAACATCTTTGTTCCTCACCCCTGAAGATGCTTCTCTGCATCGAAACAAATAAAATACCGCAAATGGTTCGTGATTCAAATTGTTTGGCGAAAATATTTGTTTCTATGCAGCGTATCATCTCGATGGATGAGGAACAAAAAGCGGATGTGACAGTTCCTATTTAAAAACACCGCCTACTGATTTTCAGATTCCCTTTTTTTATTCCCAACTCTGTTAGGGCTAACATTTTGTTTAGATAGAGAGGATCATCTCGACGAGTGAGGAAAAACGATTGTCCTGTCAGATCCTATTTGAAAAAGGCAAATATGGATCGTCACTTTCCTTTTCCCGTTATTCAAATTGTTTTATTGCTCACCTTTTTTTTCGATGCTGAGGAGAATCATCACGGGTGAGCAACAAATTTGTTTATGACAGATCCTATTTAAAAATGCCGCCTATTACCGACACTTTCCTTTTGTCGTTATTCAAAATGTTTTGGGGAAAACTTTTAGTTTTGATGAAGAGGAGCATCTAGTCGGCTGAGGAACAAAAATGGTTATGACCGAACATATGTAAAAATGCAACCTATAGGCCATCACTTTTCTTTTCTCAATGTTTCGATGCAGAGGAGCATGGTTATGGCAGATCGTATTTAAAAATGCCGCCTATGGACCGTCACACTCCTTTTTTTGTCATTCACAGTGATTTGGAGAAAACCTTTTTTTTCGATGCAAATGAGTCTTTCGAGCGATGAGTATCAACGATGGTTATGCCCGATCCTATTTAAAAATTCCGCCTATCGACTATCACATTCGTTTTGTCGTTATTGAAATTGTTTTGGGGAAAACTTTTGTTACGTAATAGCGGAGCATGTCGACCGGTCAGTAATAAAGATGGTTAGGACCGATCCTATTTAAAAATGCCGCCTATAGACAAACACTTTCCTTTTCTCGTTATTCAATTATTTTGGAGAAATCCTTTTCTTTCGAAGCAGAGGAGTAGATCAACGGTTCAGGAACAAACATGTTTATTTACAGTCATTTTCTTTTCACGTCATTCAACTTGTTTTGGAGAAATCCTTTTGTTTCGATGCAGAGTTTCGTATCGATGAGTGATGAATACAGATGGTTATGAAGGTTCCTATTTAAAAATGCCGCCTATTACCGGCACTTTTCTTTCGTTGTTATCCAAAATGTTTTGGAGAAAACCTTTTGTTCGATGAAGAGGAGCATCATCTCGGGTGAGGAAGAAAGTTGATTTTGTCAAATCCTATTTAAAAGTGCCACCTATGGAACGTCAATTTCCTTTTCTCGTTATTTAAATAGTTTTGGGGAAAACTTTTTGTTTCGATACAGAAAAGCATGTCAGCGATTGACGGACAAAGATTATAATGGCCGACCATATTTAAAAATCCAGCGTCTCGACCGTCATTTTCCTATTCTCATTAATCATATTAGTTTTGGGAAATAAGGATAAGGAAATATCCCGTAAAAAAAAAGAAGTACATAGAAGGGTTTCTATAAAAGGAAACAAAAATAATGTTAGGAATATTAAGAAGAACACAGTAAAAATAAAGAGAAGAGTGTAAGAAAAATAGAAGGAAAAATGGGGTAATATAGAGGAGATTATAAGAGGTAAGTAAAATTAAGACTTAAAGGGACATGTCAGTAAGGAGAAAGAAGAAAAAATTGATGAGAAATAGAAGATTTCAACGTATTGGCGAGGAATTTACACGAATGCAGCACCAAAAAATGAAGTTAAAGAAAATAGAGCGAAAAGAAAGAGAGAAAGAATGAAGACCATAGTTTTTGTTGATAGCAGTTTAGGCGATGATAGAACGTTAACATTAAGATAAAAACTGACCCGAAAATTCTTAATCCGAGCATGCGCGTAATAAACAAAGAGAAAGAAAAAAGAAAGGAATAGAGAGAGTACAATAGTAGTAGATAAAGACATTTATTCGGCCAATGGAAGAAGAAAAATCCAGACCCGAACGACCCAAATCATTGCTGAAGTGTCTGCTGTATTTTCCGATCCTATGTAGGAATTCAAATTTGATAATATTAAAAATAAGTCATATTATTTAATTGAATAAACGTCGTATATAAATCAATAAAGGAACATTTACAAAGTAAAAATATTATACATGCAAATTAAAGGGATTATTCAAATATTACAATAAAATTGAAATTAAGAATAAAAAAAGGCATATAAATTATAGCATACTAATACAATTTTTTAGAAAATTAATTAAATTTTAAACCTATTACCAAACTATATAACTTGAAAAATAATTAGTTATAAACCTATTTAATAGCATAACTAGATTTATACATGTACAAATCAATTTAGAATATTAATTAAAGCTAGATCAGCAAAATGTATGTAAGAATTTAAAATAATATAAAGGAAGTGAAAATTATAAATTTAAAAGGTTAGCAAAATTTTCATGTTATGTCTTTACCGTGCCTACAAAAAACGGTAGGTTCAATTCTTTGTTTTAACATTTGAATATTTTTCAAAAGCTTAAAAATATATTTTTTCTTGTAAACATAAAAAAAGGTTTTTTCAGTGATCTGCATGTTCTGATTCGCTTAAGGGACTTCTATTTAATTTTAGGCGTTTTGTTTTCTTCGTTCAATTTCCAGACATATTTAGAAAGTGATGTCATATTAAGTTTGCTAGCATTAGTAAAATACGATATATAATGATAATAAAGTAGAGCGAGAAGTCACCCCTAGTTGAAAAAAATATCGAATATAATTGGCGATTTCAATTGTTGAGATCGAACATATATATGAAATTGATTTCGTTAAGCTTTTGTTTCTGAAAGTACACTAATCGGAAACTATACAATTACATACATTAATTGCGCGAGGCATATAGGTATTTGTGTTTGGGTTACAGTTGTTATCGCTATAAAGTTTCAGTCTTTTACTCTTCGGTGATTTAATAATTTCATCAAGGTTTCTAGTAAAACTCTAATTAATTTTAATGGTGTTACGATAGAGAATTTGGCATAATTGACTATTCTTAGAAAAATGTTTACAGTCAAGTTTAAAAATGTGAGCCCCAAAATGGTACGAACTAATTTATTGATTGGAGGTGTATACTAAATTTTCTTCTTCTTTCTATTCATATTTTTAGAATAACAAGAGGAGTGCCGGTTAATAAGACGATGATGGGATATGTTGATGCCAGAAATTTGGTGATTGAAGTTAGGATTTATATAAATAGGACTAGCGTTGTTTTTCAAGAAAGGTTGGAAATTATTAAGGACGAAGTTTAAAGATATATCTAAGAAATGCACTCGCTTAATGTTGGAATTAATTTAAACTTGAGATGTAAATATTTTAAAACTCTGTGAGTCACTTTTCTCAATTTATCTACCTTACCTCCAGTAGAAATATTTCTTAACACAAGAGACTCATCTATATAAATCCCTATATTATATAAATAAATTTCCTCTTATGAAGTAAGGTTGTACAAAAGAAACAACGGGACAAAATAACAGGAATCTGCAGAATCCAATGATCCCAAAGATATGTCAAAATTTTGTTCCGAGTTTATTGCTCACTGTTCATTATTGTGGATTAGTATTGATGTTTTACAGTATAAGATGATTTAAT